GGGAGGTCCATAGGACCAAGGTACGGAGGTGGTCGTAGCCGTGGGCCAAGGAGACATGTGAACCGAGCAAGGCCTCCTGCTGGGGCGACGCAGGGAGGAGCCCTCACGCGTCCCTGTTAGAAACCCCTTTGTCGGCTTCATTAAGCTCCTTCTGCTGCTTGCTGCACTGCCTTGTTCCGCAGGGGAAAATTGATTATTATTCAATTTTCAGTTGAGATGAACCACGTTGTTAGCACGATGATTTTTTCTTTCATTATCGTTATTGCAACGGATGGAATAGGAACTCTAACAGATGTATGATTAGCAGGGCATGAAATTAAAAATCTTTGTGTACAAGGAAAGGGTTGTTTACTACCAAATTCCTCATTTGAAAATTAAGTGGTATTAAGATGGGCCAAAAGATTCTGTAACAAGCACAGAGCTCTGTTCCCTCCCCTCTCTCCCCAAGAGCATTGGCATAAAAGGAACAATGTTTTAAACGTTCCCTTTATTAAAAAATAATAATAAAACAACTGAAAGGTCAGTACCTCCCTTTGGAGGCAGATTATCTGAAGAGCTTGTTCTCTCGCTTTGTCACAGACGGTGTCAATTCAAGAAAATATTTTGACTGATTCTTAAGCCACGTTGATTAGGGCAAATTGAACATTTTCTATCAAAACTCTTTTGGATGGAATCTAAGGTTTTGATTGAATAATTCTGAGTGTGGGTGTTTCRCATGTGTGAAAAGTATTTGCTGTCAAAATGCTGAAAAACATATATTTAGTATCACTGGTGCYGTTTGGTGTTCTGTACCCAGCTCTTCCCTCCTCTTTGTGGGCCAAGTCTTTTAGCCAGGCTGTGTCTCCTGTTAGTGCATTCAGCCTAAATSGGAGTCCTGAATACAGGAGCGCTCGGTAGAGTGCAGTGCCCCAATGCCACCTGAATACTTCTAGTTTGAGGATTTCGTTTTCACATGAATTCTACCTGTAATTTATTATTCTCATTAAGAGGTGCTTTTTAATGTGTGTGCGTGTTTTTTTCCATTATTGTCTTTTTTTTTTTTCCCCCCCAAATCACTTTGTGTCCCTGCTTGAGCAGGGAGGTTGGATTAGGTGATCTCTAGAGGTCCCTTCGAACATCAAACAACCTTTGAKTCTGTGAAATCTGATAGTGAATTTGGAAAGAGCGAGATTGAAATGTGTGTCAGAAACATATTGAATATCTGGGATATGCTATTGAGGTAAATCTTGTGTTAGCTAGGACTGAACATAGTCATGTCCTAGGTATTTTGCATTTCCCACCTGTCTTGTTCCATTCTTTTTGTCTCCTAAAGATTGTGTGGCCAAGTTCAAGGATGACAGAAGCTGAAATCTTTAGGGGACTGCTCACGTGTAAAGCTTCACCTGGGTAAACGTTTGCAAGACCCAGACCAGCGGCAGCAGTGTGGTGAATTCTGCACGCTGAGCCKGCGTGGCGCTGAACAGAAAATAGGAAAAAGGGCTGAAAGATTGTTCGTGTGCTCAGGGAACAATTGAGACAGAAAATTGCTTCCAGGATTTCTTCACTTTTCCGCAGAGGGTAATCAGCCTGTGTAATTCCCTGCCACAGGAAATACTGCCTGAATCTGTTACCCAAAGACAGCAAGTAAAGTTTGGATAGCATCCTGAATACCAAAGGTGCTGCAGAGTAGTGGCTGCCCCTTCCTTTATTTTTTGGCTGCTGTACATACAAGGGAGATGCAAACAATGTGACAGATAATTGCACGTGGGCTAGGGTACTTGTTTGGTGTGATCCTAGTGCATAGCAAAACTGAACGCTGGACTGCAGTGCTGTAAATGAGGAAATGATCTCTGGATGCAAGTGAAGTTTTGCTTAGGGTTGTGCTCAGGTTCTAAGCCTGAGGCTGAAGAGAAGGTTCGGACAAGCCCAGTAAGATGATGGGTGCTGGGAGGTTTCAGTCCTTTTCTTGGTTCAGCTTCTCTCTTTGCTCCATAAAGTTATGCTAATTATTTAATATTTTTGCTTTATTTGTTCACCTGGAAAATGGGGGCAGTACATAGGCTACTTGCAGGAGTCCGTGTTAATGAAGTTTTAACCTAGGCATTTCAGCTGCAAATCTCATTGCAGCTCTTAGGGGCTGTTATTTTTATTTCCTACCTGAATGTGGATAGGTGAGTCCACACCCCAGTGTGTGCATTATACCTGCTGGGCACCAAAATTTGATTCCTAATTTTCTATTAATGGATCATACGGTGCCTAAGGGTCTTGAGCAGCTAGAAGGGGAAAGAATAAAGGAGAATGAAGTTGGTGTTTGGTTATCAGCTCTGTTCATGATTGCTCTGTCCGTTCATCTAGCTAATGTTTGCTTTTGTGCAGTATTTGTCTGTGTCTGCGCTTCTGTGCACATGGGGAAAAGGAGGACAAATATCACTGGGGTGGATTAGCATTAAAAAATAGTTAACTGATCAAAGCCATAAAGCTTGTCCAACTGAATTCTTCAGAGAAATAGCTTTGAATTTCTCAAGCAGCCGCAGGCCATAAAAGCAAAGTACTATCATTTAGAGATGCAAAAAAATCCCCTTCTGTTGGAGATTGGACCTATTTGTTCCATTTTAGGAGGGTGTTTTAGGAGGGTGTTCTAAATGTTTTCTTAATTTTCTTCAGAAAAGCTTGCTGTTATCCATCATGTGCCACTGCCAGCTGAGATAGCTTGGTTCTTTCCGCTTCTCATGCCCTTTTTATTTCTCCATTTTAGTCCTCACACTGAAGTCTGCATATCCATACTTTGCATTTTAGATTTCTTTCCTCTTTGTACAGTTCATGGTCAGATAGCCCTTAACAGAGCTCAAAACTATAAAGAAAGGCCTAAATGCTCTCCCCAGTGTAGGAGCAGAGGTGATAAGGAGGATACAGAAGGCCAGTGGAATTCAGAAAGACTTCACACTTGCTTGGCATGGCACGGAGAGATGGGCAATAGATCCTGTACCCAGTGTCCCATCCTCTGATTCAGCATCGTTCCTCTCCCTGGAAGGAGTGTCCATCGTTCCCTCTGGATTTGTGGAACAGGTGGTGGGAAGTGGATGGGAAGGTCATTYTTCTTAAACGGGCCGAGGAAAGTGTGCTCTTTTTCACTTCTCAGAGAAAGTTTCTGAATATGCATAAAATTGGGCAACCAGCCTCTGGGAATTAGACACATAAATTTATTTTATGCTTGTGAAAGTCTCTGTCCTACAGTTTTGTTTCCTGCCCCAGGATGTATAAAAGAGTGAARTGTTGTTTGATCTCTACGCAAATGTTGTTTGGCGAGCAAAAGTCTGGAGAATCCTACTCCTTCCCAGCTTAAACCTCGACACTCCTCCTCTAGATAACACAAACTTTTTATACCATATTTAAAATAGATGTGTGTGTGTGTGTGTGTATTTTTCCTTGGCAAACTTAATGTAAGACCTAAGTAGATTCTCCTATAAACTGATGTCATCTTCAGAGCAGGTGGACAATGGGTGGATGGCAAAGCTGTGATTAAGGAACTGGACTGAAGTTTGGAAAGGGCTTAAGTCCTTGCACAGGTGTGGACATGGTTCTTACATGTGTCATATGCACACATCCTGCATCTGGTTTCTGTGGTAGACGCAGGAGTAATTTTCACACATCAGTTCATTTGCTAGGATGAAGTCACCAATGTTCAGCTATTAAAGCAATATAGAGGTGCATTCCTACACAGAGGAGCACAAAGGACATTGAAACCCTTCCTTCTCCTCGTAGATCATACTTCAGCTTCTTGTGTAGGCCATGGCCTGCCCTCAGCCCTTGATGATATGGGCAGAAATTGAATCTGAAGCCAAGTGCTTTCTGCACTGGAAAGTGTTGTGAAACAGAGCAAGGGTGTGAATTTGAAGTGCAATAGCTTTTTTCTGAGCGTACTTCTCATGTGGGCAGTCTTATTCTGCTCCAAGAGGGCCTTTGTGCAGTTCTGCTTAATCTATTGCCAAAGGCATTCTTACTGCAGAAAGAAGAATACCCACACAGGGAGCAAATAGCTTTTCCAGGCTGTTTCTCCATGTTGAGGAGTCCCAGGAGATGCACATGGTTTCGTGTCCCCATTAATGTCACAGGAGCTTACTCTTGATCCCTCTCTTCCGCCAGACCTGTAGGATGCTTTGGACRGGGGCCGTTGGCAGTATCTCCTGGACCCTTGTAGGCTGCATAACCATCCCTTGTTTGCCTGAAGTCATGAGACTGCTCAGGGATCCCCTCTGTCTTGGTTATCTCTTGACTAGCTGCTCTTGCAAGGTGACATCCTCCATCAGCAGCTGTGCCTCGTGTGCTGCAACATAGCTGCYGAGGAGAGATCGTGTCTCTGATTCTATGTTTCTATGTTCTTCATTTTTTCATATGAAATCCTCAAGCAAACCTGTGCATTGGGCTTGATCCTTATCTGAATTTTGCTGAACAGGATGGGAGAGAGAAAAAATAAAAAGGAAAAGCCCATCTGTTCTACAAAGAGGCAGTGTAAAGAGCAGGCTCTGTGACTAAATAAATTCACATCTGTTTAACAGAACCATCAAATGGCGAGCAGAGGGGCCTAATGTGAATCACATGTTGAAACCACAAGTATGAGTGAGATGAGCTGCAAAAGAGAGAGCCTGGAAGTGTTGATCCATGTGAGCAACTGTTGGTTTCTCTCTTTATTCTCTTTCTCTCTCCCAGTTTCCTGAGTAGATGATTTAGAGTAAAAATGACAGGGATGTGTGCTTGTGTATGTGTACGTATGTGCATGCTGGTGTGTTCTTTGAGTGATTCAGTAACCTTCCTGTATCATCTTGAGCCATTTGCTCGTAGCAGCCATTGGAAGCCAGGAGAGCAATGAATAACAGTGGAGAGTGCAGGGGAGGGAGGGTCTGGCCCGGTCTCCTTGAGCAGAGGGCACAGGTGAAGCTCATCTCTGGTGATGATGCATCAGCAAAGTGGGCCCAGGTGTGCTGGCTTTATAAGGGGATGTGTCTTAGAAAGTGTTTCTTGGGTGGACGTCTTCAGAATCATCCTCTCAAGCAACCTGAAGGGAGCAACAGAGAAACATCAAAGGGTAGGTTATGTCTTGATTTGTGAAAGTTGTTTTCAGAACAGGTAGCGAAGTATCTCTCCTAGCAGACTGTATCTTTCCATGGATCAATTTAGTTTGTTGTTTAGGTTTCCCCCTTAGTGCTTCAAGTATTGCAGAAACAAAGGGCAGCTCAAGTTTCCATATTGGTTGCATTTGCAGTTCATTTATTTTTTTCAGTGCCAAGAACATATCAATACCATTTTGAAATGCAGTCTTTTTATGATTTGAGGCAGCAGTTTCTAACTTAAAAACAACAAAGCTTTAGGTATGTACACACAATTTGGGTGCCTCAGTTACATTAGCAAACTAGTCTCCATAGCCCTTTAGAGAAGCCTCTGTGAGGGAGCCTTCCACAATACTTCATGAAAAGAAAACTGTAGTAATTTGGGTTCCAAATGCATCTCCATGTTGCTTTCTTGCCGTTTTTCTTGCCTGTTTTGCAGTATAATGGGCCAGATTTGCAGAAATGAAGAGTGACTGTAGATACGGTGTTAGTTCTGATCTGGGTCTCCTGCAGTTCAGTCCCCCTCCTTCAGCTTAGAAAAGACTGTGCTCATTGGGAGCACCTGGAACCTGAGCTCTGCCAGAACTTGCTGGAGGTAATGACACACCTAAGGGGCTAGTGGGGTTGAAGGTCCCCATAGTGTGATTAAGATGTTGGCAAGCGTGTTGCTTTGAAAGAGAACTATGTGCCTTACAGGTGCTTACCAGCTTATGAGAATAGGTATTGCCTGAGATCKGTGATATTGGGGAAATGACTGGATTGGGGGCCATGTGATGAGGTGAGCTGTGTGTGCTCATACCAGCAGCATGGCTCGCCTTCTGAGATGGTGTCTTAGCATAACCCAAAACCAGAGCACAGGTAGGTGCCAGCAGGTAGAGTGCAGCAGTGCATCRGTATCTCATCAGCTACAACTGAGATAGTTGAAGAGTCTGGTTCTTCCTCCTGAGATTCCCTGTGCTCACAGTTCATTTCTCTTTCCCTTCCTGCTGCTCCATTTTTCTCACAGCCCGCTCTGAGATGGTGCCGTGGAAATAGATGAGCACTGTCATACTTCCCAGAGAGAGTCACATTTGAGCTGTTTCACATCTAGGGAACCAATGACTCCAGATTAATCTGGAAACTCTTCTATCACAACAAAACTTAATAGCARAAAGAGAAGGGGAACAAAGGGTTATTTGGCTGGCTGAAAACAGAAGACACAAATGTGGTGGTGGTGGAATAACCGGAGTTCTGCCTTCAATATCAGGTGATGCTTTAGCAAAATTGCTAGGCCAGCGTGCTTGCCTGGCTGTGATAACTCCAGTGTTGGTACTATGGTTTGAACCAGCTGAAGAGTTTCCCCCAGAGCTTTGCACATTGGCAGTTCTTCAGTGAACTGACACTGAGCTAATGGGGAACAGAAATAGTTTCCCAGGTTGGTGCTCAGTAGTTTGAGTTTCAAAGAAGAATTGAAAACTGAGTCTGAAGCACTACTCACAAGTCTCTCTTCAGAGCAAAATTAACAGCCTACAGTTGCTAAAAGATAGCTTTTATCTTGGTGTGCTTTGGCACGAGGCATGTTTGCCTCTTGTCTTTGTGTTTCTTTTCACTAATTTCCCTGTCCTTCTATAATTTCCCCCTTTGAACAGCTGACTTCTCAGAGGGCTGAACTCTGTGGTTACTACGCTTAGTACAGGAATACCTAACATCATCTTACGACTCCCCTTCCTAGCCACATGTTCATGGGYGTTTAGGGGTCCTCTTGATTTAGGCATCATTTCAAAGTTTCTCTCTTGTTTCTCAGTGTGCTGTCCTGTCCTTTCTGGAGCTGACAGAGGATGCCAGGTGGAACGTGAGTCAGCTGTGTSCTCTCATTGCAAATGGAGCAAACTGTGTGTGGAGTTACACCAGGTCAGCTCTGGCCAGTAGGTTGAGGGGAGTTACTGCTCCTGTTGACTCCCTGGTGATGAGTCTGGCAATCTTGGGTCTCCCAGCTGAAGTGGGGTGTTGAGGAACTGGAGAACAGCCAGAGGAGGATTACCAAGACAATCAAGGGCCTGGAGTGCATTGTTTACAAAAAGAGGCTGATAAGGCTGGACTTAGTCTGGTAAAGAGGAGCTGAAGGAGGGGTCCGGTAGCAGCCTGCAACTACTGGAAGGGTGTCATGGAAATGACAGGGCCAAGCTTTTCTTTCTCTGGATGGCAAAGTGCAGTGGACATAAGTAGTGATTTTGGAGATTCAGGCTGGTTGTTTGGAAAAACTGTTTCCCTGGGAGGATAGTGCAACACTGGAGTAGGTCACCAGAGACCCGGAGGCTCCTCTGCTTGGGAGAATGTCAAGTTTCAGCTAGACTGCCATGATGAGCCTTAGCTCCTGTAGGTGATAGTCCAGGCTTTGGCTCGCAGCAGGACTTAATGATCTCCAGAGATTCTTTTTCTTTATTGGCAATACAGGAGGCTTTCAACCCCCTAGATTAAGAGACACTGTCATCTTTTTGTCTCAAAAGAGACAGGGGTGTATCAGGGGTGCTCAAAGCCTGGTGATGTCAAATCCCCYGTTGTGAAAATCGGGGAAATGCAGTCTCTGTCTGGCTGTTTGCAGCAGGTGTCTGTGTCTTTCCTTCACTCCAGTTTTCACAATGCACTGAAATATCTTGCTTCCATTAGCAACCTCTCTGCAGTGTGAGCTGCCAGCCATCTGGCAGCAATCATTCTTCTCTGTGTTAACGTATAGGATTTTCCATAGGAAAAAGGCAATTTCCCATGAGTATCTACTAGGTACCATGAGCCAAAAAATGAGCTGTGGGTTGGTATCCTGCTCAGGAAGGACTGGGGGAGTATCCAGGTATTTTTCATAATTGAGTCCATGACTTCCAGAGTGGTGGTTTGGGATAAGAGAGAAAAAGTTAACTGGGTCATGTGTTAAAGAATTGGGGATTAAGGATTTTGGTCCTGCACTTAATTCCTACCTGTTGATTGATTTGATTGCTATTTAAGGCATTGGAGTTTCAAAGTCTGCCTCATCCTGCCAGCCCCCTGAGGTGCTGCAAGAAGATGACACTGGAGATGCCCTGTGCTTTCAACCCTCTTGAGTGGGGCCTGTGCTCTGGGGTGCAGCTCCCTTTCAATCCACAGAAATCATCCCCACACCTGGGGTTAAGATTGCCAGATACTGATCTGTTTTCTTCCAGGGCCAGTGGCTACTGATTCTGCTTCTGTGACCAACTTGCTCTTCCTGTGGCCATGACTATTTTAGAAYAGAGGTAGAGCCCACAAAACCCAACACAAAATGACAGACCATCAACACAGGTGCTCACCTTGCTGGGTCTGACCTCAAGCTCTGCATTGTTTCAGTGCTCACTCTGCTCAGTATTGGATTTCCCCCTCGCTACTGATCTGCCTTCCCTGCTGTTTCTCCCCAGGCTGAGACAGGCACACGTAGCCCTCTGAAAAGCTAATACAATTATCGGTGTGTCAATATGCTTTCATGGTCCCATTTTGTCCCAGTAGAATCTTGTTGCTTAACTTGCTGCTGAGCTGAGTGTTAGTTCTGCACGGTTCCTTCTTGTTTACAGGCAACACGAGCATCCAAACAGCTCTGGCTCACTGCGAAAGCTTTAACCTTGCCATCCACGTATTGCCTTGGTTTCTGTTCTCWTATCTGGAACTGTCTTGGTAGGCCTCATTTGAGTACAGCCCTGCTGGTTGACAAATCCAGTCCTGTAACTGTGTTGTTTGACGGGTGATCTGTTAGAGTTCTGTGTTGCTTGTTAAAGCCTTTCTGATGTTGGAAGTCAAGTACTGAACTATCTCATAGGCAAGACAGTGATTTTCTTGCGCGTAGAAGGACTAACAGTAGCTTTCTGTGACAGAGGCATTGGAAAAAAGTATGCCTGTGAAAACCATATTTGTGTAAAGGAACTTGTGGTCTGAAATACCCAAAAGAACCACTCGGCATCATTCTGCTTGCTCTTTTGCTGTCCCTATTACTGCATTTCTGCCTTTGTTTTTGTATGTAAAATTCTTTAGCATCTAAAACTTTTCTTTGTGATGCAGTGGCACTCCCTACAAACCTGTAGGTCAGATTGTCTGGAACAGGAGCTTAAACAATTGGAAGAAGTTGCTCTTGCTTAGAGCTACCTACAGGCTTAATTGCTGAGGTTTGGCCACAAAACTTACTGCCCTTCAGCTCGTGTTTCGGGTGGCCCCTGCCCTGTCCGCTCCATTGTAATTGCCATGGGCATTTCTGTGATGACCATTGTTAAGACTCTGAATTAACATCTTGTCCAGTCCTGTTTGGTCCAAGTTGCTGAGGATTGTCTCATACTGCAGAAGTCAGGAGATGGCTTGCTCTCTGGTGAAATTAAAATGGGGCCATTAGAGTTGTGTTAGAGTAGATCTATCGATCTCTGGGGAGTCAGTACTATCTCTTGTTTCAATGCAGATGCGCCAGTCAAGTTCAATTTATTGGTTTTTAAAGCCTAGTTTGTCATCCAACACCAGGGTGTGACATGGCTGTAAAAGGAAGATGTTGTTTGACAGCTTTTATGTGTGTGTTGCAGCAGCAAAGTCCAACAGTCTGCATCTACTCACAGAACTTTTAATGCAGCTATAGTGTGAAAGAGGAGGGATTTTGTGTTTAGCTTGCCCTTTTTCCTTTCCCACTTTAGAGGCTGATGCAAGAAAAACTAGYTAAGAAAGAAAAAGAATTTACATTTTTAGTTAAAATCAGAATTGTCCCAGCAATAGTGTTTTGGTGTAAGATTGAATATGGCATTGAGTCATTATCTGATGAACTGTGTGGTGACTTTAATCTGTGATAAGCAGTATCATAGTAGAGATCAATCTAACAGGTCTTTMCTGTCTCTATTCTGGATCTGCTGCCTACCTGTTGTATCTGATTAATACTTTAAAAGTTCTACTGACCTGACTACATGTAACAGGTCCCATCCCAATGTGATGTAGTTCTGATGGCAAAAACCCAAGTTTGGATGCAGCT